GGCGCCCTTCTTTTCTGCCCCCCCCCGCCCCCCCCCCCCCCCCCCCCCCCCCCCGGGTCCCTCCTCTTGTCCGTCGAAGTGGGCTGGGGGGGGGGGGGGGGGGGGGGGGGGGGGGGGAGCATCAGGAACGTGTGCATTTGTCAGCACTTATTTTTACAGGATATGTTTAACTTGTCTTATTTCTGGCTGGTGTATTCAGCAGCACAGGAGGGTCTGGATAACAATGTGTCTGTGCACTAAAACCAGGCCTGGGACAGGGCCGTGAGCGCATGTCACAGAATGCACATACCTGTCATCTTCCCTAGCTCCCTCCCCATGACTTTTGGGTGACAGGATGAACTGTGTGGGTGGGAAATGAAAGCTTTTTGGAATAGCCCTGAGTCAAAATCCTTCTGTCATCCTTTACCACTTCCCATTGAGGAAACTGACACATGATCTATGATCTAAAATGTGATTTTTACTGTCAAACACAATTGGTAGTGCCAAGAAAAAGTGTTGCCAAAGTGATAAAAAATGTCATCTCCTGAAGAGGATGTGATGAAAGAAAGGCAGCTATCATTATCCACCAAAGTATCAGAGTAATTGATGAGATAAACAGACAGAGCATGAGATTTGCATTAGGTATTTTGTCATCCATACTTTGGGTTCCACAAGTAATCATCCCTGTTTGATATTTCATCTCGTTTGTTGCCTGACAACATGGCTTTTTAAAGAAAATTTAGTGGATTTGTATTTTTATTTACACAGCATATTTACCCCGTAAATATATTTTTGGGTAAAAAACAAAAATGAAAACCAAAATAGCTTGAGTATTTTTAGAAACACCTTAAGGCTCGAGTATACTGCTGCGTATGTCCGTTCACGTGTACGTACGCCGATTGGTCATTTACTGACATGCCTACTGGATTGATTGACAGGTCGGAAAAAAGAAAAACGCGAGCTCTGGCAGCCTCCGCCACAGCAGTGTTCTGTATTTATACGTTGTTAATAAAAAGATCTAAAAAAAATAAAAAAAACAGAGCACTGGCTCTACAGCCCACACATCAGACCAGCTCACCAGGAAATCTCCAGACCCTCCCGCAGCCACGCTGGACCTGAGTTTAATTCGCTTGTGACAAATTCCTCCATTTCTCACCATTTCAGTCATGGCATCAACGGAGGAGGAAGAGATCACTGCCTCTTGACAAAAAAACAAAACAAAAGAAAAGGCCAGATCAGGGATAAAGAAGGGGAATTTAATACATTGGTGTCGCATACAAAACAGTCCGTCGCTTGGCAGTTT